AATAAACGAGCTAATTAATTAGTCTTTTGCTTAGCCCGAAGGTACTAGTCCTAAGCGTGTTGTTGCCTTAGTATAGGGTTTCTAAGGGTGTCTAGTATAATGGTTTTGTAGGTTTGCTACTAAATAGCGGTCTAATTAGTAAGGGAGTTAAAGTAGTTATCCTAGGTGCGTTTTAGGTCGCTATTAATATATTATATAGCATAGACGACTAGCGAATAGTCGTCTAGAAGGGCCCTTAGCGCGTTTCGCTAATTAAGCTCGCAGTTACGGATGTAGTCGTTATATTGTTTCTAACTAGAGCTATTAAATACGGTATAGTCCTTAAGTTTAGTATCCTTCTTTTAGACTAAAACAGATAGAGAGGAAGGCCCTACTATTAGTTTAGTATTAGTTGCTAGGGCTTCTTATAGGCGACGAATTTCGAGGAGATTATCCTTTAGCTGTTGTTCTTAGCGCAAGGTAGTAAGCCTGTTTTAAGTAGCTCCTTAAAGTCTCGCTACTAGTTAGGGACTAAAGGCTAGTTAGCTATATCGACGGTTAACAATATTGTTAAGAATGTCGTCGACAGACAATTCTAGGTCGTTACCTAGAATTATAGGTTCTTCTTTAATAGGCCTAATAGCAGGCTCTCTAGCGGCAGGCTCTTTAGTAGGAGGCACTTTAGCAGGTGCTTTAGCAGGTACTGTACTACTAGCGTTGTCGTTGCTAGCGCTGCTAGCGGTAGTACGGTTATTGTTTCGTAATAAACCGGCTATTATAAGGGGCGATACTAATAATGTATTATTAGCCCCTAAGATACGGATATAGCGGAATTAGTAGATATCGGCTTAGTATGCTTAACTTAGTATAATAGGCCGTATAGAAGGCCTTGCTTAATAATTGGTACGGTTGTTTTAGTAGAATAGTACGTATAGGTCCCGTTCTTCGGGCGCAATATAGTTAGATTAGTCTTGTTCGTAGCTATACTACTAAAAGCTTGAAATAAGGACTATCTAGCTACTGCTCTTAAAGGGTAGATCGAATACTGTATAAGAAGGGTATATTAGTAGGTAGATAGGGTAGTAGTAGGTACGAGTAGTATTCGATAGAGATCTAAGAGAAGAGGGAGGAAGGCAGGCTAGTTAGCCTAACGCTAAGCGCCAAGCCCTGCCTAAGGCATTAAGACCCTAGCTTTACTCGAGCCTAGTTACATGCCAATTACGTATAACCTCTTTAGTCCTAACATATATTGCCTCTATATCTCCTTAGTAAGTAAGGCAAGGTCCTTTAGTCTTATTCTTAATAGAAATAAAGACCTATAGTGCTACGAGTCTAATAAGTCTTCCTTATTAGATAGCGCTCGGTCGTCTACTTCTATACTAATTAGTAAGTCGTTATTCTCGAAGAAGGACAGCTACTAGCTATAGCGATAACTTCTATTAAAAGTAGCTTCTTCTACGCCCTTATCCTTTATATATAACTAAGCCTAATTGCTATCTTTTAGCAATACTCGTTAGACTAGTAGTAACGTATCTACTAGTCTAAGCCGAGCGGCCTTTTTCCGGCGTAGTAGCTTTAAAGGTATAGTAGTAGCGAAGTAAGGATATAGATTACTAATAGAGTCGCTACTACGGTTTAAATTAGCTAATTTAAACACTTTTAGTAGAGCCTTGTCTTCTAGGTTATTAGGCAAATAGCGGCTAGTACTAGCGCTATATTTAACTAGTCTTAACTCGCGCCTCTTAGGTTAGAAGACCTTCTTAATCGGACCTTGTTTGCAATAACTAGTAAGCGGTCCGGTCTTGTAAATACTACTTAGAAGTAACGGTAGAAATAACTTAAATAGTAACTATAACGTACGCTTAAGAAGGGGCTTCTTCTTATCCTTAGTGCGGCCTCTTCTAGTTATTATAGTGCCGATTGTCTTCCGCTAGCGCTTGTAATAGACCTTCTATTACTTCTTTGTCTTTGCCGCCTTACTGTTAGCTAGCTTCTAAGCCTTCTTAATAGCTAATAACTCGCGGTAAGCTATCCGCGACTAGACCTTATAGGTGTAGGCTATTCTAATCTTCTACTATTTGCCGGTATTAGCTTTCCGTGCCTTGCGTACCTTAGTAGCTGTCTCTATCTCTAAAAGGTCGTAGAGGGCTTATACTCTAGTATTAGTATAGAAAAGCACTAAAGTCGTTACGCCTTCGAGAAGGCCTCACACTAGTAACGATAGCAGTCTATACCTATTTAATCGCTCGTTAAGTGCGTTAACCTATCGCTTTGTAGTACGGACAGTTAAGGCTAGTTTAAATAGGCTTATATCTACTAGAGGTAGTAAATCTAGTAGGTATAAGACCTCGAACAGCTTGCCTATTTCGTAGGCCTCGCAGAGCCTATCTAAGTCCTATACTAAGAGGTCCGCTTTCTCGTTAATCTTACGCTTTGTATAGGCGACTATATACGTACTGTACTCGTCTCGGAGGAAGTCTAGCGCTCGTTAAGCACTTATAGGGGTAATTCTAGTCTTCCGGAAGGCCGAGCGAATATTGTCGCTTTTAAAGGTCTTCCGCCGGATAGTGTTAATAGCATCTATAAACTAAGTTACCCTAAATTCGCCTATGCCGAGCCTAGTATATTATATTACTGCCTGCCGGTAGTAGTGCTTATAGACCTAGAATAAGACTATGTCTAGTAGCTACAAGAAGTACAAGGCACACAGTAGAAGGGTAAAGATTAGAATGCGGTGTTTCCGAGCGAAGTTAATAAACTTAAAGAACTCGTAGCTGCTAAAGTTGTCTATTATTAGAAGCCGGAATAGGCCTTTATTAGCAGGCCTTATTAACTTCTCGAAGCGCTTAATCTAGTAGAAGGCAAACTCGTCGTTTAAATAGCTACTATCTATTATACTAATAAGATAGTATGCTAGTAACTAGTTAAACTAGTGTTTAAGAAGGACCTTGCCTTATACTAGTAGCATTAGCTTAATAAAGGCTCTGTAGGCATTTACGGCTTCTACTAAGGTTATATGCTTCCTATTAGTATTAGTTGCCGCCTATAACCGCCTCTTTAGATCTATTATAACTACCTATTCGGCACCTCTAATGCTAATCCGGAAACCTGTCTTATCTATATTCTAGTAGTTCTCGAGACTAATCTTATAGACCTATATTAACTCGTATAGCTTATTAAACTACGAGCCGATAAACTAAGGGTCGTATACTTCCTTCCTTACTAACTCGATAGGTTTCCTTTGAATCTCTTTAATATTATGCTTCTTTATCTACCTCTTATGCTACTTACTACTTAATAGTGCTAGTATTTTATCTTCTAGAAGTAACTGCTTTAATATTAACTCGGCCGTAGCGCGAATAAGTAACGTTAGTAGTAGCAAGTCTATTAATTCTCGAGATCTATAGTATTCGATAAGGGCGATAGATTAGGCTTCGGAGAGGCGAGAATGCGACGATTTACGGTCGGTATAGCTCGTATTACTATTATATCGTCGATATAATTAGTAATAGATATTATTATAGTAGTGTTCGTTATATCATCGTCGTAGGTTAACTAGGTAGTAGTATATATCTTTAAACTCGCGAATAGCTACTAATTAAGCAGCTACTCGGGCATCTTTCGTAAGGTTTATAGCTATAGATTTATAGACGACCTTCTATATACGTTTCTTCGACTTCCGCTTTCCTAATAGCATTATAATAGTGTTAAGTAATTAGATAAAATAGTCTATATATGCTATTGCAGATAGGTGTTAGTTGCCAAGGCTATTTTGTAGATAGGTGTAGACCGCTTACAAAGTAAGCGGCGTGTGACTCTACTAAGCCGCGGATAGAGACGAAGGATAATTGGATCATGATAGTCATGCGTCATGGAGCACGCCAGGACGCGGGACATCACTGTCGTTGCCCATGGAAGACGCACTGCCAGTGGCCCATTATTATCATAAGTTACAGTATGATATTTGCGCGTGGAAGTGATCCAGACCCGCACACGAGTAAAGAATAAGCTTCGTGGGAAGTTTGTTTTCTTCCGTAGCCAAGATTGATGCCCGGTCCATGCCATCCATGTATGTTGGGCACTGGCCACGCCGTTTCGCCGTCTCACGAGCTCGGCGCCCTCCATGTTTTAGCTGCACGTCTGCTATAGCACTTGCATCATTCGTGTAGCCACCGACACGTGAAGCGTGCAGGGCGTGTGTCGAGATCGTGCAGCGGCAGCGGCAGCGGCAGCGGCAGAAGCAGAAGCAGAGTGTACCGGCTCCGGCTAGATACAGCGTGAGCGTGAGCAAGCTGTCGCCGCACCCGGGAGAGTCTCCTACAGCTCCCTAGTTCCACTCCTGTACCGTGCCATACAGGCCCAGTAAAGCGTAGTAGACTCGCACTGGACTATCACCGCATCACCGCGCGGACTCGAGTCTGGAGCCTCTCTGCGCGACACGCACACCACCGCCGGCCGCGTCCACCGAACTGCCTCTGCCTCTACCGCCGTTGCTGCCTCCATTGCCCGCCCTCCCACACCATTCGCCTGCGCGACCATAATCGACGGCCAGCCCCGGCGACGATCTCGGTGCCGTATACTGCATCATCGCTGCAGCCCGCCCGGCTGCGCTGGCTCATTCGCCGACGGAGTCTCGTCCGTGTGGTGTCTCGCAGCTCTCGCGGGCATCTGGTATAGGACTGGCGATCTCGAGAGAGCTGCACGCCATTGCAACAGCAACGCCCGCCTCAGCTGCCTCAGCTCCCGACGGCCATCGACTGCCGGAGCGCACGACATATGCTGCTCGCCGGCGGGGAGGACGTCCAGCGCGGGGGTGAATAGAGAACGAAGCCGAGCCGATCAATACATACGAAAGACCAAGAGAGCAGCGCAGCACATGGAAACGACGTTCACGCCGATCCAGCGCTGCTATTAGGTAGCGAAAAGTCAGCATCACCGCCGCGACGATGAATGGCTACCCGTACAACGGGCAGTACGACGGCGGGGCTATGCAGCATGCCGACGATGGGACGGCGCAGAATATGATGATGATGATGGGCCAGGATGGCATGGGCGGAGGTGCAGGCGGGCAGTCGCTGGACGAGATTGTCAACCAGAACGCGAAGATGATCCGGCGACAGAGCGTGCCGCAAGGCTACGGGAGCAGTCCACACCACCTGAACCCAGACATGCGACGCATATCGATGATGGACTACGGCCAAGGCTCGCCTGCCGCCTCGGTGGCCAGCTTCACCTATGACCCCAATTCGAGCTTTGATCACAGTGGCATCGCCTCGGGCGGCGTCACTCCCGCGCGTGCTGTTCAACAACCACGCCAGGCCCAACACACTCGCCGGCCCTCTGCCGCCGACCTGGCCTTGGATACCAATTTCACCAACACCACCAACAATTACCACCATGCTGCTATGCCGCCCAACACCGCTTACGACGCCTCGCCTGCCCACCCAGCCACGACAGTAGATATGAACTTGGATACTGACCAGTACCTCGACTCCGGCATGGCCATGAATATGGACTTCAGCGTAGATCAAAATCTCGCCAATGCCATGTCCCAGGAAAACATGCACATGCCCCTCTACAACCAAGCCCAATTCAACAGCCATTCAGCCCTCAGCTCCCCCATGCATCCGCAGGCGCAACAAGGCACGCCCCGATCGGGGAGAATGTCTCAACACGATCAAGGAGGAAGAAGCCAGTATGGGAGCGTGAGTGGTGCCGGCTCTGCACACCCGACTGTTCGCCAATTATCGCGCACGCAAAGCTTGCACATCGCGGATCACATGAGTCCTGCTGGGCATGCTTCATCGCCCTTGAGCGCACCTCCCGCATCTGCTCCTCGAATGTTGCCCCAAGAGCAACCACAAGTGCCAACTCACATGGCACAACCCGGCTTCGCTAAGCAGCCCCAGAACCCAGCCACTGGCAGTCAATTTGACCGAGGAGTGAACCGGCCTTCGCAGCAAGGCTACGATGGCATTAATGGCCCGGTCCCCATAGATCGCTCCAAATATAATCCAAACAACCAAAACTTCCCATGGGAAACCCCGGAAGGGGGATGGCCGTCCACCATGGTGGGCAAACCACACACCAGCTCCATCTACAAAAATGCTTATTCTTCCACCGGCTTCGATATGCTTGGCGTCTTAGTGAGTATCATTCTTTCTGTCTCCCTTCATCTGCATACACCAGACCATTACTGACGTGCAGCAGATGCGAGTGGCCACTCGTCCCAATCCCGAGATCAACATTGGCTCTGTCGACTTGTCGTGTGCCTTCGTCGTTTGCGATGCCGAGAAAGATGACTTTCCCATAGTCTACTGCTCTGAGAACTTCGAAAGACTGACAGGATACACGAAACATATGATTCTCGGCCGCAATTGTCGCTTCCTTCAGTCGCCCGATGGTCAAGTGGAACCGGGAATCCGTCGCAAGTATGTCGATGATGATTCGGTGTTGTACCTGAAAAACATGATCAACCTGAGGAGGGAATCGCAAATATCGCTCATCAATTATCGACGTGGAGGTCAGCCTTTTATGAATCTGCTCACCATGATCCCCATCACCTGGGATACCGAGCAGGTGAAGTTCTTCGTGGGCTTTCAGGTCGACCTGGTGGAGCAGCCGAATGCCGTCACGAACAAGAATCCCGGTATGTTCAATCGCCCGATGCGCTCGCCGATGCACGCCGATCGCGTTAAGCGAACGACTGCCAACGCCAACGCAACTCCTTGCTGACCTGTCGCACAGATGGTTCGTACTCCATAAATTATCAGCGGGGCATGACCATGCCTCGCTATGTCATGAACGCTCCAGACACCTCAAACAAAACCGACCTGGGCCAGACCGTACCGCGTGATGATGTCTCCGCTATCCTGAGCACCATAGGCAGCGGCGAGTCCGAGTATGCGAAGCGGATGTGGGACAAAGTTCTGCTGGAGAACACCGACGACGTTGTGCACGTTTTATCCCTCAAAGGACTGTTTCAGTGGATCTCGCCATCCGCGCTGCGCGTTCTGGAATACGAGCCGACTGAGATCATTGGCACAGCTCTCAGCTCTCTGTGCCACCCGAGTGACATTGTGCCGGTGACTCGTGAGCTCAAAGACACTTCTACAGGAGCTACGGTCAATGTGGTTTTCCGAATCCGACGCAAGAACAGCGGCTACGTGTGGTTCGAAGGCCATGGATCTCTTCACACCGAGCAAGGCAAAGGCCGCAAATCGATCATCATGGTTGGTCGCGAAAGACCCGTCTATGCGCTGAGTAAGCACGAAATTGTCAACTCTGGTGGCATTGGTGAGAATGAGCTATGGACCAAGATGTCCACTTCGGGCATGTTCTTGTTCGTCTCGTCCAATGTACGCCAATTGCTGGATCGCCAACCGGATGAGCTTGTCGGCATCAGCATACAGTCTCTAATGCGCAGCGAAAGTAAGACTGAGTTTGGCCGAATTTTGGAGCACGCTCGAACTGGTAAGAAAGCGTCCATCAAGCACGAGATGATCAACAGGAGGGGTCAGGTCTTGTCCGCATTCACGACTTTGTACCCTGGTGATGCCACTGAGGGCCTCAAGCCCACGTTCATCGTAGCACAGACGAGGTTGATCAAGTTCTCGCGAGCGCACCACTCCAGTCGACCGCCACTGTACCCCAAGAACGACCGAGCGTCCTCGGGTGACGGCATGCCATCTAACGCAGGGCTTGGATCAACTGACGGCGATGTGACGCCTGCTTCAAATGCGACGCCAAATAGATACACAACCACTGATGGATCGGCGGCCACTTATTCGGGCGTGAATGGCTTGGTGATTGGTCGTCAAGACCAGTCTTTGGCATCAGAGGACAACCTGTTCGACGAACTCAAGACCACCAAATCTTCCTCATGGCAATATGAGATTCGACAATTGGAGAAGCGCAACCGAATGCTAGCTGAAGAAGTACAATCCCTCATTGCAGCCAAGAAGAAGCGTAAGAGAAGGAAAGGCGCCGGTAACCAGCAGAAAGACTGCGCCAACTGCCATACTCGCGTCACGCCTGAATGGAGGAGAGGACCGAGCGGCCAGAGAGATCTCTGCAACAGTTGTGGTCTTAGATGGGCCAAATTGGTAAGTGGAATGACCGCACTATTCATATGCCATGTTATGCTGAACCGTCCTGCTAACAGGTGAACCAGAACGGCCGAGTCAGTCCACGCACTTCAAGTCAGCAAAGTGCGCACTCGGGCGGCGCTTCAGATAAAGCTAGCAACGCCAGTCCGCGACACCAATCTATGGTCGGCAACGCTCCTTCCATGGCCAAAGAGGACGCCACAAGTCCGAAGAACAAGATTTCCATGGAGCACTCGAGTAGCATGGAAGGCGCGAGCGGTGTGCCTGATAAGATCGACGAAGAAGATATCGAACCTGATTGAATGGATGTGCGTACACACGTGGTGAAAGAGGAAGAAGAGAACAGTTTCTGCTTTTTTGAGCATGGCGTTGTCGGCCACAGTCCATTTGGTCAGGTTTCAGCATTCATCATCATAATCGTCTTCACGAGAGAGGGGTTGGGCCAGGCAGCCAGGGGAAGAAGCAGCAAGTCGCATCGCACAGATTAACCCAGAGATTTGCCTGGGGGCGCGGCGCATTTTGGAACCATTTTGTTTTTTCACATTCTTGCAGGTGACGGAAAGACGTGATACCCCTCGATTTTTTTGGCCGCTTTTTGGGACGGACGGAAAACAGGAAGAAAGAAAGAATTATCTCTATCTGCTGGAGAGAGATATCATTATGATTTTACGAATATCTTTTACATTTTGATAACTGAGAGAGAAAGAGAGAAAGAGACGGACGGGACGAGATAGGAAAGCCAAGAAGTCGTAGCTTGTTGAAGTGGAGATTCTTTTGGCGAGGCGCGAGGCCCTGGTCGAGTTGAGGACAAAGCCAACCCAAAGCAAAGCAAAGCAGATGTCTTGCGTTTTTGAGTTTATGCTGTATGTCTCGAGCGATTGAGCAAGCAAGCAAGCAAGCTATGGACTGTGGAGTGAGGGATGGGATGGTAATTTGGATGTGTGTGTGTGTGTGTGTGTGTAAGAGTGTGAGAGAGAGCAGTGCGTATCGTATATACAAATGAAAGGAGTGGATGAAGCTGTGCTTCGTTATTAATTGATTCGATCTGACTCCAACTTTTCTCTTTGTTAAGAAGAAGAATAGATAGATTTATAAATTTAAAGAAGCTTTAGGGTTTTAACTATAGTGTAAGATATAGTTATGCTTTCTTTTATATCTTCCTTACTAGAGCCTATCGACTACTTATTATTAAAATTTAAAATATTATCTAAAGTAAAGTGCTATATATTAAGTAAGTATACTACTAGTAAGGATATTATAGTTAAGTCGGGGATATCTTCTTACTTCTCGTTTTTACTAGAATAGGAAGAAGAATAGATTTATTATAAATTTAAATTTCAAAGCTTATATAAGACTCGGTAGTATACTATAGAATTACTAGAAAGAATCCTTATAATCTTCTTTCGGCCTTTTTAGAATACCTTAAGTAAAGTAATATCTATAAATTAGTATAAGGATATTTATTATTTTAGTCGGCTCGGTATATCTTCTTACTTCTATATAGTCTTCTAGTAGATAGGGTTATCTCCGGCGGTACCTAGTTGTAAGAAGGGTATATTAGCAGGTAGATAGGGTAGTAGTAGGTATAAGTAGTATTCGATAAGGAGCTAGGAGAAGAGGGAGGAAGGTAGGCAAGTTAGCCTATTGCTAAGCGCTAAGCCCTACCTAAGGCACTAAGACCCTAGCTTCACTTAGCCTAGTTATATACTAATTACGTGTAGCCTCTTTAGCCCTAATATACGCTTCCCTTCTAAAGGCCGCGCCCTCGTAGCCTATCTATATTCTACGACCTCTATCGCCGCTAACTTAGTAAGTCTAATAAGCTACTTAGCCCGCGCTAAATTGAACACTTAACTACCTAATTATATAACTATATCAAACCTCACCTCTAATATAATATAATGTCTAACTCTAACTGCGCTATTACTACGGCTATAGTAACAATAAGGTACTATATAGCTATATAAATTGAAGGCTAGCAACTAATTACAATACGAGCGTACCTTCCCTACTATAATAGGTAGGTGTACGGGGTATTATAGCACTGCCCCCGTTCTAAGTAAGGTTGTCCGAGTTCTTTGCGTCTACTCTTAAAAGACCTAGAAATGTCCGCTCTAAGGGTTTGTCCGTTCCGAGGGTTGTTCTTGTTATTACGAGGACTATTATTTACTATCGTGGTTTTACTAGCCCTAATTAGTTAGGTTTAGTAGCCTTTAATTGTTAATCTTATCTTATCTTTTAAAAAACATAGCTCGTCTAGTTTCTATAGGTAAAGGCTATTATAAGTGTAGTAGTAGAGGTTCGCCTCGCTTAAAGGGTTAGATAGATCGAGGAGTAACCTATTGTCCGCAAGATCGACCTCGGCTAGCTTAGCTCTATAGTTTTGCCCTTAGTTAGTCTATTAGTCGCTTAATCTTTTAGGCGGCTTAAAGTTTTAATCAAAGTTTTAATTAAAGGTGCCTTAGGCTCGTAGTATAGGTAAGGTTGTATCCGTAGGTATAGTAATAATAGCAAGTAATATTAACAATAGCGGCGCTAGTCGTCTTAGTACTAACTTTACCTTCTAATTTCCTTCTTTAACTAATAACAACTCGGTAATACCGTTACTAATATAGCTGTGTCCTTCCTTTCTTAATTAGTAATACACTCCGCAATACTATTACTAATACGGCCGCGCCGGCCGCGCTATCGTTATTATTATTATTACTATTTATACGTAAGCGCGCCGCCCTCGCCGATCGCCTAGGCCTTAAGGCCCCGATAGAAGGAAGGAATAAGAGGGGGACCTATAGGGCGCGTTAGTAAAGAGGTAGAATCCTTAAAAGAGTAGGCGATTAGTTAACGCGTTATAGTGCGCTTGTTAATACTCGGTGCGCGTTTACTATAGTAGTATAGTCTTATTGTCCTAGTTTGCCGGCCTCTAATTAGTTAGCTAATAACATCCCGGGGGTAACATTAATCCTAGGCCTTAATAGTAATATTATAGGCCCTTAGCCTTCTTCTTGTTCTTTATACTAGTCTAATACTTATCTAACAACTTAGTTATGTTTTTAAAAGAAGCTTTAGCTTCCTACGAGTCCTATTTAGGTAAATAGCCTTACTATCTTAATAGGTACTCCTTCTTGCCTTTCCTAGTCCGGTGCTATAGGATACGTTCTATAGACTATAGCTCTTTACTATCCGCTAGTATGTCTTCGTATTTAGCAGGGGCTTTATCCCCTTCGCGTAGGTAGTACAGCTTAAGGAGGGATATATAGAAGGTATTATAGATAGTATAATAAGGTAGAAGCTATAACTAATAGGCCTAGGTGCCCCTAGGTTCTCGGATACGGAAAGGGCTAATGTACCTTAGTGCGAGTTTAGGCCTTGTTTTGCTATTAGGCGAGGGGTGTTTGCGGATACGGAGGTTCTTCGTACTTAGTATAACTATATCGCCTTGCTTGAAGGTTATCGGTATATAGTGTTTATTATAATAGGCCTTCTAATAGGTCTAGGCCTTTGCTAGTTTGTTAGCTATCTTAGCGTAAATCTCTCGCATCTTTTAAACCCTCTTAATAGCTACTAGTATCTTAGGTGTTAGTACTTAACGCGCTTCCCTTTCCTTACGCTCGGCCTCGAGCGATAGGGGGTCTTATAGTATCGCAGCGTTCTAGCCTATTATAGCTATATATAGTAACACCTTAGTTAATAAGTAGACACTGTTATTATATACGAATTTAGCTAGTTATAGGAGGTTAACCTAGTCGTTAGGATTCTCGTTAATGTAACTACGTAGGTACTGCTATAGGGTAGTAAAGGACGGAAACTAATACTACTACTACTACTTGTAGCAATAGTATAGGCTACCGAGGGTAATATAACCTATAGCAATATAGGCAGCTATGTTTAGTAAGATAGGATAACGAGACTGTCGCTTAGGCTAATAACTAGAGCCCTGCAATATAGGCATTATAGAAGTGTAATATAAACAATGTACTATACGAGGTTGATAATCTATCTGCTCTATAGAAGGAGGCCTCTTATATAGGCTCAAAACTAGCCTATAGGTATAGGGCCGGTTACTAGCTAATATCCCTCCCTTTCTTCGTGTCTAACTAGATACGCTTTATATTGCGCTTAAAACAAACATATATACATCCTTAGCGCTCTTAGCTAAGGCTATTTTCAGAACTCCGTAATAACACCCCCGGGGTAGCATTAATCCTAGATATTATAATTATGTAAAAACAACTTCCTAAGCAATACTATATAGACTTACTATTGCTTTAACGCGCCGTAATCCTTACTAGCAATAACCTTATCTACTAGTCGGCTCTCGAAATCTCCTCCGTATACGTTAAAGCTGTTAGTACCGAAGTACTGTCCCTCGTAGAAAGCTTAATTAACGAGGAGGTTAGTAGCCTTTTCCGTCGCAGCTTTCTCCTAATTATATAGATACTCCTTAAGTCCTTCGTTATTAAGCTAGAGGATCTATTTAACTTCGTTCTAAACAATGTAACTTAACTAAGGAATCCTACTAACTAGGGCGTCGGAGATATAGCCGAAGCCTTCGACTAAGATAGCCGTAGGGAAAGCGAATAGTACGAAGGAGTTAGAGGCTAGGAGGGCTATTAGATTACGGTGCGCTTTAGCAACCTAAGAGACTATTAAGTTCTCGTAGCCCTTAACCTTAGTGCCGTTAATAACGCGAGAGTAGCCTAGGTTAATTAATATACGGTTGCTCTTAGTCTTTAGATTACTATACGGAAGGTATAGTATCTAAATAGAGACCTCGCATTCCTTTAGAGGGTTAAGGATCTACTCCGCTTTACGCCCCTTACTATTAGGCTAACTATCGAACATATAGTCGAGGTCGTCGCCGGTAAGGTACTTATTAGTAAGCTTACCGATCTTACTTAGTAGGACTAGGCTACGAGCCTTAAGCTTCTTAACCTAGTTCGTAAAGACCTCGGGCTAATATATACCTTCGACAATAGTAGAGTAGCTAGTCTTATCCTTAGATATAAGGCAGACCTTAATACGTAGGTAACTAGTACCCTCGCTAGCTGCGAGCTTAACTATATCTTATCCGAGATAAGCAGACTCCTTAGAAGGATAGTTTTTATAAGTACCGCTAACCTTAAAGAACTTAGTAGGCTTAGGGACGGAGATAAGCTTATATACGTAATTAGGTCGAAGGGCGATAGCTAAGAGCTATAGGGTAGGGTGCTAGCGGACGATTTAGTTGCTTATACTATAAGTTTAAAGGGCATTACGGCCTTCCTACTTAGACTTAGGCATCGTACGTATATACTAAAGGTATATTTCAAACTCCTCCTATATTAGGTCGATAAGGAAAGGAAGATATACTCTACGAGGCTCTTATAACTAGCTAAAGACTTAAGGGAAGATAGTATTACTAGTCTAGCGAAAGCGGTCGAAGGAAGTGCCTTAGCTAAAAATACCGGTAACGAACTTGCTCTAGCGATCCGTCGGCGTAAAGGCGCGAGTAATAGTACTAGTAGGGTTAAACGCGTAGAGTCCTAGAGATATCGGGGCGGCAATAGGGCGTCTAGGAAACTAGTTAGTATAGGCCTAATTAGCCTTAAGGGTAGCGAAGGCATCTTAATTAGCGATATTACGTCCAATCTTTAATAGGCGGCTAATAAGGATACTCGTCTTAGCACTAGTATAGAGACTATAGACCTTAGTAGCCTTCTTAATATAGTTGGTATATATAGTAAACCGCTCTTTACCTAGCTTACTAAGGTCGTCGAGCTATTAACAGATAGATAGGGCGGTAGGAGCTTTACCTATATCGGCTTTAGGAACTATATCGATCTCGGTAATAAAATATACGATAGAGTCGCCCTTATAAGAACTATAGATGTTCTTAGTTAATAGGATCGGCGAGAGGCCTCTATCTCTACGCTTACTAAAGGAGCCTTCGGAGGAGACATCTTCTAGTAGTATATCTAGTATATTAATATCCGAGTTACTATAGTTAGTACTATAGTTAGTACTATAGTCGGTACTAGAAGGAGTGCTATACTT